AATTCAGCCTCCTGAGTAGCTAGAATTACAGGTTTTGTGCCACTATGCCCAGCTCAAATTAATTGTTTTAGATTTCTGATACAAAGACTTTTTTTCCCTATTTATAATAGGAATACATGCAACATTGTGGAAAATGGGGAGAATAGAGGAATATATAGAGAAAATCTGCTGCTTTTTCACAATTTTGGTGTATTTTTTTGTAAGTCTTTTTGAGATAGTGGGTGACTGGTCTTGAACTCCTAGGTTCAGATGATCCTCTTGCTTCAGCTTCACAACTGCTGGGACTACAGGCATGTACCACCTTGCCCAACTATTGTATGCATTTAAAATAAATAAATAAATAAGAGCAATGTGTATTAACAGTTTTTCTTCTAGCATTTTTTTTTCACTTACATTGTAATTAAAATTTGAGAAGCTAGTAACTAGATGAGATTACCAAGTCCTGGGTTTTACAACTAGAATATTTGAAACAGGCTAGTTAATTAGACTTTATATATTTTATATCTTGTAGCTGGCTAAGATTTTATTTTGTTTTTTTAGTGTATTTGACTCTTGTTAAGTCTCTACCCAAACATATTACAATACTTTTTGTTAAAGAGTAAACATGAGTGAAATTTAAGAATTATAAGTAGAATTATGGAATTGTAGGGACTGGGGATATAGCTCAGTGGTAGAATACTTGCCTAGTATGCATAAGGTCCTGAGTTCAATCCCCAACACCTCAAAAAATACAAGTAAGTGTAAAAGTTATCTTAGATAGGCAAATGAAAACTCTAAATAGGGAACTTACCCAATTCTTCAAATGCACTGTAGCTTATAGCTTTATTATTGAATATTTATTATGTTAGTATTTTTCATAGTACTTTACATATATTATATATAATATATTTAATAGTTTTATTATGTATTTTTTAAGCAGTAAGGAATATAGTAAGCAGTAAGAGTTAAAATTGTTCAACATTCTTTTTATTATTTTTCTTTTATTATATTCCTTAAGTTTAGATCACTTGAAATTTAATGGACCATCTTCTAGAAAATGGTTTTCTTTTATTAATTAATTTATTTTTAATTGGTTCTTTTTAGTTTTACAAGACATAATCCATTTTTATATAATTATAAATTATAATTATAAATAATTATTAGAATACATCTTCTAATTCAGACTCCAGTATCTTTTCCTCCCCTTCTCTTTCCCCACCACTGTTCCTTTCCCTTTTTTGATCCTTTTTGTCATTTACCCATGGTTGTTATTTTTTAAATTAATTTCTGTGGGTGTACATGATGGTGAGATTCACTGTGGTGTATTCATATGTACATAGGAAAATTATGTCAGATTCATCCCACCCTCTTTCCTTTTCCCATCCTTCCTCTCTTCCCTTCATTCCTCTTTGTCTACTCCAGTGAACTTCTATCCCTACCCCTTTAGCTTCCACATATCAGAGAAAATATTTGGTTTCTTAGGATTACTTAGCATGATAATTGCTAGATTCATCCCTTTACTGGCAAATGCCATAATTTCATTCTTTATATCTGAGCAATACTCAATGGAGTGTGTGTGTGTGTGTATGTGTATCACATTTTATTTATCCAGTCATCTGTTGAAGGCCACCTATGTTGGCTGTATCACTTAGCTATTGTGAATTGTGCTGCTATATACATTTATGTGGCTGCATCACTTTAGGATGCTGATTTTAAATTCCTCTGGATATATACCGAGGAGTGGAATGACTGAATCAAATGGTTCCATTACTGGTTTTTTGAAGAATCCCCATATTGCTTTCCAGAGTGATTGTACCAATTTATAGTCCCACCAAGAATGTATGAGTGTACCCTTTGGAAAATAGTTTTTTCTTTTGGGGTGAAACTATGATGGATCATGGTTAGTTTAGCGACTCAATGCAGTGCAGAGTTTAGTTGAATGGTGTAAAATGAAAATACCATTTACCTAACACACCTGCCTCTAACTATGTATGTAGATAAAATGAGCTTGTGTACTTTTTTATCCTTGCGATTCTTTGTATGTATTTGTTTCCCCCATCCCATTATCCTGTTGTCTGGAAGAATAAAATTATATAAAAGCACACAGAATTTCTTTAAGATATTACCTATTTTCTTTTTCTAGCTTAAAGCAATAAATGTAGATCTTCAAAGTGATGCTGCGCTGCAAGTGGACATTTCTGATGCTCTTAGTGAGAGGGATAAAGTAAAATTCACTGTTCACACAAAAGTAAGTGGGATTTTTATATTTTGACTTTTGTTGTGTTAATGTTACTTAAATAAGGGAGAGGACAAGGGGGAGGTTATAAACTAAAATTGAATTTTATGCATGTATGAATTTGTTGGTTTGAACCCAACTACCATGTATAACTTTAAAAGCTCTTAAAAAAAGAAAAAATATAATAATATGTTGACGTGAACTTGGGTTTTGAACACAATTGAAAAGGGACATAATTTATAATTTCTGCTATTTTAACAAAAGAAGTTTTATGGAAATTACTTTTGGGGAGTGGGTACTGGGGATTGAACTCAGTACTTTACATATGCTAGGCATGTGCTTCACCATGCGCTATATTCCAAACCTTTTAAAAATTTGGAGATGGAATCTCACAAAATTGTCCAGACTGGTCTAGAACTTGGGATCCTCCTGCCTTAGCCTCCCTAGTAGTTAGGATTATAGGTGTGCACCACCACTCCTGTCAGGAAATATACTTTTTACTTTTGTTTTCTGGTACTGGGGACTTAACCCAAGAGCACTTTACCACTGAGCTATATCTGAAGCCTTTTTTGAGTCCTTTTTGGTTTTTATTTTGAGTCAGGGTCTTACTAAATTGCTGAGGTTGACCTCGAACTTGGGATCCTCCTGTCTCAGCTTCCAGAGCCTCTGGCAGTACAGGCAGGCACCACTGCACTTGGTGAAATGTACTTTTATTTATTTATTATTATTCTTTAGTTGTCGATGGACCTTTATTTTATTTATTTGTATGTGGTGCTCTGAATTGAATCCAGTGCCTCACACATGCTAGGCAAGTGCGCTAGGCAAGTGCGCTACCACTGAGCCCCACAACCCCAGCCCCAAAATGTACTTTTTTAAAGATGAACATTTTAAGACATAATCATAGAGCCTACATATAATACAAATTTAATTATGTGTAGGTTTTTATCTATTTTTTAGTATAATTTTATTTTCAATTTTGTTGTTGTTCCTTCAGTTAGATTGCTATCCTACAAATTCTTTTTTTTTTTTTTCCTTCTCTGGTAGTAGCAGTTAAATCCAGGATGTTTTACCACTGAGTCACATCCTGAGCCCTTTTTAGTTTTTTATTTTGAGGCAAGGTCTCTTTTATTTTTTAAAAAATAAATAAAAATGTCTTGCTAAGTTATTCAGGCTGGTCTTGAACTTGTGATCCTGCTATCTTATCCTCCCAAGTAGCTGGGATTACACGTTTATACGATAGCACCTGACTTCAAATTATCATTCTATTGCAGTTGGGCACATTATCAGATTGTAAATCTATTTTTGTTTGTTTGAATAGTTGAGTTTTATAAATATCAATAGAATAATTTTTATTTTAGTTTTTATTCCCTTGTATCATCCCTTTCTTTCTCTTCCTTTTATCCACCTTCCTTGTTCTGCTTGTTTTACCTCAGTAGGATAATTCTTAATTAATGGTAGCAGTATAAGATAATAATAGCCTGTCAACATTTCCCAAAGATCTGAGGATAAATTTGACTAAGTGTCTTGGGGTTTTCATACTAGAGTTTAATGTCACTGGTAGTCTTTCACATAGACTAATTTTTATTTATTTTTGGTACTGAAATTGAACCCAGGGGTGCTTAACCATTAAGCCACATCCCTAGTCTTTTTTTTTTTTTAAATATGTTTATTTTATTTATTTATATGTGGTGCTGGGGATTGAACCCTGGGCCTCACATGTGCCAGGTGAGCACTCTACCGCTAACCACAACACTAGCCCCCTAGACTTTTTTTTATATATTATTTTATTTTTGGAACCGGGGATTGAACTCAGGAGCACTCAACCACTAAGCCATATCCTCAGCCTTGTTTTGTATTTTATTTAGAGACAGGGTCTCACTGAGTTGCTTAGCACCTTGCTTTTGCTGAGGCTGGCTTTAACTGTGATCCTCCTGTCACAGCCTCCCAAGCTGCTGAGATTACAGGTGTGTGCACTGGGCCCAACTGTATTATTTTATTCTTTTGAGACCGGATCTTGCTAAGTTGCTTAGGGCTTCACCAAGTTTCTGTGGCTGGCTTTGAACTTGTTATCCCAGCCTCCCAAGTTGCTAGGATTATAGGTGTGCTCCACTGTGCCCAGCTAAGACTGATTTTTAAAGAACTGAGATGTATTGTTTATCAAAAGTTGTTAGTGTAATTTTGACTTTTATTCAAAAAGAATCTGTCTTTGCAGAGTTCATTGCCAAATTTTAAACAGAACGAGTTTTCTGTTGTTCGACAACATGAAGAATTTATCTGGCTTCATGATTCCTTCGTTGAAAATGAAGACTATGCAGGATATATTGTAAGTATTGAGGTTTTATTTTAATCCCATTTTTAAGAGCATTTTGTATACTCTTCTCTATTGCAATCTTTTATTTTTAGTAAATGATAAGTTTTTTTATTTTTTATTATTTTATTTTATTTATTTGGGGGAGAGGGATACTGGTGATGAACCCTGGGGCACTGAGCTCTCTTCCCAGCCCTTTTTATTTTTCTTTTATTTTGAGACAGGCTCTCACTAAGTTGTCCAAATTGACTCTGAACTTGGCATCCTCCTGCCTTAGCTTCCTGAGTTGCTGGCATTACATTCATGTGCCCTGTGCCTAGCACTGATGTGATTTTTAAAAATTTCCCAGTTTTGTTACAAAACTGGGTTACTATCTTTTATCTTGAGTTGTCCTGTTTGGATCTGTAGGAATATGTTATGCTTCCTCATTTAAACTTAAATTCTGTTAGAAATGAAATGAGTTTGTCCTAGAAATTAATTAAGGGATTTTATAAATCATACTGGCTTTGAACCCTTAAGTGGATAGGTATTTACTTTTGGAAGCCTCCTTAAGGTGTTATCATCAATAATCAATGGTTATTATGCCTCAGCTTTTGACCATACTTAGATTTGTGAGATTTAATTTGATTAGATTTTTTCTAAAATCATTGTGACCC